ACACACACACACACACACACACACACACACACACACACACACACACAGCTTACATGACGATGAGGTTGGCTGTGCTTGAGTGCTCCTTCAGCAGCTCGTTGAGTCTGATCTGACGATTAGTCTGAGGAGCAAAACAAACAGAGGTACAGGTTGAAACATTCAGGTATCAGCTTACCAGACAACCATCACGAGCCGCTGCAGCACCGACTCAGAGCCACAGCAGCCCGTCTACTCTGTTTGTAGAGCCGGCCACATCGGGCTGCAGTGGATTAGTAAGAATGAATTTGACGCAACAACTTTCAGGCACAGGATGCAGGACAAATGCTTCACAATTCAGCAGTTTAAAAACCATACACGAAGAGGAAGAGGAAGGGAGAACATTTAAATATTATATGATTACCAAAAAAAATCATATAAGATGTAAAACAGACAGCAGCTAATTATAGGCAATATTAAAACGATGCGCTTTGATTCGTTGTTTAAAACTGTCCAGTGAGTCAGCAAGTCATACATTTGAAAGTGTTGAGAGCGCAGTGGCTGGAAGTAGAATCAGAGGTTTCTGTGGTGACTTTGAGAACAGTTTAAAGGGCAGCTGTGAAGATCTTAGGGTTCCTGCAGGATCAGAAAACAATGGGGAGTCTGTGATATAAAAGGGGGCGTGGCTACAGGGAGCCTGTGTCGGTTGCATAAAACAGGAGTTCTATCATCGCTCATTTGAGTTTTTTGATAGAAACCCTGGCAGCAGCACTCTGAATGGACTGTAGCTTAGGCCAGTAAACAAAGTGTTACAGTAGTCGACTAGAAACTAGAGCATGAACAAGCTTTTCTGCATCTTTCTGGCTCAGCAGAGGCCTCATCAGCGCTGTACTGCGCAAATGATTAAATGGTCAACAAATTAAAATGAGCTTTAAAATCAAAGTCAGAACCTAAAACAAACCCGAGGTTTCTCACTCCGCTGACCGCTTCTTTTGTGAGATGATGTAATCATTCAGAACTTTGCTCAGCATGGACAAAGTCTTTAGACTCCTGAAATGAAAAGAAAGGTGCTGACCTTGGCGCGGTAGAGCTCCAGTTCGTTGTCGGTGATCCTCCAGGGCTCGCTGTCCTTCAGCCTCTCGGCCGCCTCCTGCTCCATGTCGTCTTCCTTCAGCCGATACGGCTCGATCATCTCCTCGAAGGCCGACACGCTGCACAGCGACAGCCTCATGTTAGTTCATGCCAGCCTTAAAGAACACACTTAGATTGTGCTCACTCAATCAATTGTTTTTATGCGACAACAGAAGATGAGATAGAACTGAACAGGTTTCAGTGGTTCAGTCTAATAAATTACAAGGTCAAATCAAACAGAGATTAAAAGCCTAACCCGGTAACTTGATTCGTATTTCTGTGGTTCTGTCGTTTTCATCAATTATGATGGCGCTATCGATACAAAGACTGCCAGGTCCAGTCCAGTCCCTGTTATTTTAAGGTTAGACTGAAAGAGCTGAAATGTTAGTAAATAATCCCTCATTGCAAATAAAATTGTAATCGGAATGATTACTTAAAGTTACAGCAAAAAGATGAAGCAAAACTGTTATGGATCCACATGAACAATGTGGAGAATACCAGTCAACCCTTCCTAATGTCATCTAAATATGATCGTTTTCTGTTCAAAGCAGACTGATGTAACCTGAGCTCATTGGTCCGATTGTCTGATTCTACCGACGTCCGGAGACAAAAACAAACATTCTTGCTTTCTTGGAATATTCAGGAATTTGTTCGTCAAAGCCGTCTCCATATCCCATTTAGCACATCAACTCCTTTTCATCAAAGGTAAATAACACCTGAATGGAGTGTAAAAACGTTTTTGTGCAATTGAGGAAGTTCAATCAAATTTTGACGTTAGCACACAGCTTTTCTAATGCGATACTTCAAAATACTCTGAAATATGCGAATGGAAACACGGCTAATGACAAAGAAGCTTCCAAAAACTGTATTAACCACGTTATAAAAATGACTTCTTTGGAATTGAATACCATCCTGTATACACCCATTCAATCTTCCATAGCTACTTCCAGGTTCAACTTTGACCCCCCCTACTTAACGTAGATGTGCATACACCCAATTTGACAACGTGATGGAAAATGATAATGGACATTTGAAGTAATTTTACATTTGTTTTCACTTCCAAATGAAACTGGGGAGGTTGTGTGAGTTGAGCAGGTTTTGTTCTAGTGGTCGAGGTCAACAGAGAGAAGCAGCCTTCACTGGAGACTAGTCTTCATCACTAATGTCCCCCTGCTCCGAGAATAATGCTAACGCAACACTTCTTCAATGCTTACCTGCTTCCTTGATACACGTAAATAATATAATGTTCAGGTCCACAGCACTAATCCCATCAGTACAAAAGAATCATGAAGAAGTTTGATTTCATTCACTAATCAGTTACAGTGTCTTCTACTAGTGGAGTAAAAACGTTACTTCTGAAGAATGGTTGTGAAGATGGTTAAAGACTTACTGCTCCTTCTTGGGCTTGGTGTTTATGTCTCCCAGCACGGTGATGTCTGAGAAGTCTATCCTGAACTTGCTCAGCAGAGTGGCCATCCTGCACGGGAAAAGCAAAAGAAGAGAGCTTTGAGAAAAATACTGGAAACCAGCTGCAAGACATTTTCAATCCAAGGTAGTGTGGACAGAGATAAAGCGCCGAGTCATCCTGAAGGCTTTAAATGAGGGTGGAGGCAGGTGGGACAGGCTTTACTGGGAGCACTGTGGCATTCTTTGTATGCCATTCATTTCCTTTAGCTTCGACTTCAAAGAAGCTGATAACACTTATTTTATAACCTCAAATGTGTGCTTTGCAGCCAAATAAAATACATATCCATTTTCCTATTCACTATGAAAAGTATTGAAAGTGAGTTCTGCAGAGGTAAATAATGTTTTTGATGTGACCCTGAAGTGAATGAATTAAAAGAAGACAGGAAAGTACAATCACAAATCATGAGGGGGAAAATTATAAAAATAGATTTTTATCAAATATATACTGCAACTACTTTCCTATTGGTAAAAAAAAAAAAAAAGTAATTAAAGTGTCATTCATTGGTTGAAATGGTCAAACAAATACAAAGGGGATGTCAAAGTGCACGTAGAGCTGTGCACTCGCACACAGAGATAAAAGGCTTGGCTGATAGCACCAAGCTAATTTTATCCAACAACAGGAGGTAGGAGGCAGCTGTAGGGGACAATGAGAGACACAGACAGGGGTGGGGGTGTGGGGGAGGGGGGGAGACATGCCTACTGGAAAAATGACATCCTTTTACATCTTTCAAGGAGTCAGATGAGATTATGGATATTAAGCTTGTGTTTTAAGTTCAGAGCTGGAGTCAGGACATGGTTAGCCTAGCTTAGCATAAAGACTGGAAGCAGGGAGACAGCTAGCCTGGCCTGTGATTGGTCTCCAAACAGATCACATCTCTGTCAGCAGCATATAGCTCAACACAAGGGACAACCAAACACAGCAGGTCCAACCTATTATCACTGATAATACTGCAGTTATAACATGATCAATGTATTAATAATGGCTCTGATTAGAACTGGCTGGACTCAATAGTATGGTCTGTAAGAGGTCGGTGTATATACAGGACGTGGCCGAATGATACATTACCTTTAGTGATTCATGCTCGTCATCTGTAGCCTTTATTATTAGCTAGCGTGACAGCGATACAAATTGGCTATCACTCACCTGCTGCTCCCTGCTCTTTTCTTTTACGGCTTTAGGAGGATCATTTCCCACCAACGTTCACGGTTTGATTTCCATATTGAGGATGTTTCGACAGAAATAATGCTGGCTAACATTAGCTGATCTAAGTACAGATGCTGACTAAGTTCATTGACAAACTAAGTAGCAAGTGCTGGTATAAAAGGTCCAGATTTATAAAGGCATAACATTATAAAATTAGTTTATTAATATTGAACGTGTCGCGTTTCCAAATTGCACCAAATTCAATACCTTGAGTTCCCAGCAACACTTCCGCTAAGTGTGAAATAGATCGGATGAGCGGTTCTCAAGATATGTGAAGGACACACCCACACATGCAGACAGACAGATGGACATGAAGGATTCCTTGTTATAGTTAGATACTGATCAACTCCTCTAAAGCTGACTGACCAACCATCATTTGTGGTTTTGATGGACCTATTTCTTGGCGAAGAGCAGCCAGATTTGTGCAGCTTCCTGAAGCAGTGAGGTTGTCAGGTTTGGAACCATTGTGCATGCACAGAGCTGAATAACAGTGCTCACCGGCTGTATATATCTGGTAACTCATGCTATAGCTGGAGCAATGCACAGAAATACTGGGCGGATGGATATACTGTTGTGGGTCAAAAACTAGTTCCAGCTGGTAACTCAACCTAAAACCACAAATGGTAACTTTGACTTTTCTGTTCATTTGCAGATTAAACATACAAGATACTGCATGTTAATCATAGAGCTCCAGCAGTGTTGGTAGGGTTCGTTTTTAAACTTTGGACAGAGGCAGGCTAGTCGTTTCATGCTAAGCTAAGTTTACCATCTCATGAGATAAGATTGACATCAATATTCTTATTCACTGAAAGAAGGCCATTTCTAAAAAGGTAAACTTTTACTGTAACATCAATAAACAGATTGTTAACAGTAAGGAGACTTGATGGGAAAAGCTTCTCCGCACAATAACAAGGAAATGACAGCTTGTGGTTGCATACTATCTTCGGATTAGGACTTAATCCAGAGGGAATACAACCACAAAGCAGACAGGATGTTCACTTGATGTGTTGTTGGTCCAAACAGATGGCTCCACTACTTAGTTGGTCTATTTTGCAGCCTCCTGTAAAAAAGGACCATACTGGTAGGCTTTCTGGGTTTTCACCACTTTCCACGATGATTATAAATGCAGACAAGTAGTCTCAGTTCACTTCAATCCACTACACAGTTCAGTGTGCAGACACTTGAAACTTGCTGTCAACTAAACATACAGGAAGTAAAGGCAACTAAACTGTAACCGAGTCCGTGAAGTAACGCAATTGACGCTTTTCACACAGCACAAGTCCATTAGTTTCTCACACAGTGAGGAACTAATGTAGAACCATTAACAGCACGGCGTGAAATCAGGACACTGACGTGCAGGATGGACCAGACAGCAGCACCGTAAAACACTGGTCGCACCAGCCGCTGCTTGGATTTGAATGAGTCTATTCGTTTTGTTACGCAACGGTACTCGGAGACTACCAATGGACTCTCCTTACAGCAATAAATTCAGCTGTAATGATATTGTAGCACATTAATGTAACATTCGAAGTGATTTCACTGTCGAGTTTTTGGGTAGGGGGGGGCTTATGATTTACCTAATTTAAGATTATAGGATATAGGATGATCGCAGAAAAATATGTTTGTCCCATCTGTGATGCAATACAACATATTTGACTCTTAACAAAATGTAAAGTAGTGAATCCAGTATGTTCGAGTGCCATTTTAGTCTTTAGCATATTTTGATGATTGTCAGGATAAAAGAGTGAATCGTGATTGTTTTGTCGTAACATGAAATGTTCACATTTTCCTAGTGAGATGTACATTTGCACCACATTTCAAACATGAGTGATCTTATTCATGCTGACAGTTGTCCAGTGAAAATGTGCATTCACAGGACACTTTATGGCTGACATGTGAACAGACATCCACAGAACATACAGCTTCTGTAGTTCTGCAGACAAACCCAGTGTCAGTGTTGGTCCAGCTGGGAGAGTGGTGCTGAAAGGAAAGCATGTGTGTGTGTACATGATGGGAAGAATAAAAGTAAGTAACGGCATTCATCTATAATCATACGCACCAGGGCTATCACAGGGTATGCCAAAATTATATTTTTTTAAAGTTTGGTAATAATAAATATTTTTTAATAATTTCATTATGATTATTTATTTATGTAATAATCTCAAAAGACTCAATAAAAGTTAATTTTCACCAGCAGGTGTGGTACATGTTGCTGTTGGTAAATGTACTATAATATCATACTATCTACTCATGTTAACCTTCAGCGGATGACAAAGCGGATAGGGAGGAGTTGCAGTACTTACGCTCGGCGGTCATGGTCGATCCTGTTGATCTTGCCTCCAATGAAGACGCGGATCTTGCAGTCCTTCCACCTCTTCTTGTTGGTCAGCAGGTAGGGGATCAGCAGGGTCAGACCTGGAGGGGACACATCAAACGGCTTCTCAGCACGGAGCTTCGGTCACGTCAACACTAAACACCTGCTGGCTCTCACTTGGTGGATGTTCAAAGGTAGAGAATACAGACATTGTCATCCAGAGCGAGATCACTGGACTCTGAAACAACAGCTTAGTCCGAGCATAGGAGCAGCTGACGTGACGGCGATGAGCATGTGTCACATGCCACAGTGTCTTGAACACGAGTCATGCCTCTGGTTGTTCACATCTTTACACCCCGCTGGGCTGACAGCGAGACGCCAAGCATCATTGTGCCAGTAAAGAATGAGTCACGTCAACATATTGGCTCCTTCAGCTCCACTGATCAACGCCTCACTAATAGATTTGATCTTCCTAACAGCTGGAGGGATTGATTTGCCGTCTTCACTGCTTCCAGAGCTCCATGCCTCTGTGCCGACCTGTTGACAGCGGCCGTCCAAATAGAGCTTGACCGTGTTAGTGGCTTTATGAATTAGATATAAATAAAATGACGATAGTTTGGAGAAGGGAAGGCCGATGTACCTGCCTGCTCAGAACTAAAAAGGTTTAGCACACTTTTCCTAATCGCCAGATAATGCATTGGAGATTTTGTTTTTTTAAATAATAAACATCTAAAACATTAAAGTCTGTCGTGCATTAATGGCTGAAGCCGTTAATGCCGTTATATATACATATATATACATATACATACATATACATATACACATATATATACATATACATATATATATACATATATATACATACATATATATATATATATATATATATATACATACATATATATATATATATATATATACATACATATATATATATATATACATATATATACATACATATATATATATACATACATACATATACATACATATATATATATACATACATACATATACATACATATATATATACATACATATACATACATATATATATACATACATATATATATATATATACATACATATATATACATACATACATATATATACATACATATACATACATACATATATATACATACATACATACATACATATATATACATACATACATATATACACATATATACATATATACACATATATATACATATATACACATATATATACATATATACACACATATATACATATATACACATATATATACATATATATACATATATATACATATATACATATATATACATATATACATATATACATATATATACATATATACATATATATACATATATATACATACATACATATACATACATACATATATATACATACATATATATACATACACATATATACATACATATATATACATACACATATATACATACATACATATATACATACACATACATATATACATACACATATACATA